GCTGAACCACAACTCCCACCATCCTTGGACATTGGCCACACTGCCTGGGGCTGATGGGAGTTGGGACTACAACAACATCTGGAGCTTACTCAAACGTGAGTGTGCATGCAGCCTAAAGTGCCTCTAAACCAGAGGTCGGCAACCTAAGGCCCATGGGCTGGTTCTGGCCCATGAGCTCCCTGGAACCGGCCCACAGCCGTTCCGTGGATCGACATGGGGATTCTGGACTTCCGGGTTAGCGCCTCCGGCAATGGCGGATTTCCTCTGATCGGGAGGAATCCGCTTCGTGAGAATTAGGGTCTGGACCGCCATGGCAAGGCGGAAACCCACCAAAAACCACAGGCGGGAGAAGCCTGTGGACGTGGGATTCGGCTGGAACCTTTTGCGCCTCCCCTATTCGCGGGGAAACCCGGGTTCGGGGATCCGGAGTGACGTGGGGTGAATGGCGCGGTGCTTCGAATCGACTGCTCTTTTCACGGAGTGAAGCCACATTGCTGTTGCCGGAGAGCGCTGAGTTTTTCCTGTGGACAATTGGATTTTAAACAACTGCCCGTGAGTAGAACGGAAAATTGGACTATGAAACTTCTTAATTTGGCACCGAAGCGGGAAGGTCTAAACAGGAAGTCCGCCTTCCGCTTTTGTAAATAGATTGAAGCAAAGACATTGCAAGCTAGAGTCTGGAAAGTCGTTTGTAAAGAACTAAATTTCCATCAGTTAAAATTACTAAACCCCCCTTGGAAGCAGGAGAAGAGGGGGGAACCTTTTTAGACTTTTTAAACCTGCAGAAGAGAGAGTAAAGAAAGATAAATTTCCACCGTCTTGAACCTGGGAGCGGGGTGTCAGGACAGACGTTTTGGAGAAGTTCATTGACTGTGGATAAAACGTTTTTGACAGATAGTTAAAAAAGAGAAACATATTGATTCCAATGTTCCCTTTTGCACTTAAAAGGAACAAAATATCTGAAAAATGAAAGGAACTTTGTTGCTAGATCTGCTTTTTAAAAAGACGGATACAAATAGAAATTGTTTCCTCTAGAGGGAGCTTGTGAAACTGTTGTTAGAGTCGATCTGAGGAACTTTGCAGCTGTAGAGATTAAAGATCGTGAGACCAGACTTTGACCTTGAACAAGAATGTGCCCAGAAGAAGCTTTAGTGCTTGCTTTTTGCAAGACAAGTGCTTTACTGGAACAGCTACATGAGAAGATGGACTTGATGACTGATGCAGTTGGAAATTTTGGACAAACAGTGAATACCTATATAGAAACCACTCAGGAATCAATCCAGGAATGTGCTTTGACAGAGCAAGTGGGGAAGAAGATAAAGGAGGAGGTTGTTGCTGAACCTCAAGTAGCAGAAATGGAGAGAGCTGCGGCCTTGCAGGAACATAAGTTGTTGTTTTTGACGACTGAACCTGGAGAAAGTCAGATTTGGAGAGATGGAGTACTGTTTGGTTTGGAGATGGGAAGCTGGATAGATCCCCCTATGCAGGGATGTTTTGGCTTTTCGGATCTGGCTTTGGGCCAGGGGGAGTTTGGAGTTGTGGGGGCCCTTAACCTTGGAGGGACTTTGAAACATGCCTTTAAATATCTTATGGATTTCAGTGTTGACTATGGAGAATGGGCTGACTTGTTGAGAAGGGAGAAAGATATTGCCAAGTTGGAGTCTCCCCGAGAGAAAGGAAGGAAATTAAGAATAAGATCAGCAGAAGATAAAGTAAAGTACAGGTATAAACATGAAGAAGACCTGCGGAAGGGACATGGAAAAGACTTAAGAGCCTCGGATAGAAGGTCACCTGGTTGATGGACTAGATGGATGGGATAGAAAGGACTGACAAAACCCGAGACCAGGAAGAAGAGACGATGGATGAAGATTGGAAGAAAGTTTTAAAAATTCATTTAGAAAATCATTGTAAAATTAATGAGTATTAGAAAAATGTTGGAATGAAACTATTTGGCTTTAGTAGAAATGTTAAAAAGAACTATGTATAAATATGTTATGCTAAAAAGAATTAGGTATAAATAAGACTTAAGTTTTAAGCTTTAGGGTTTTTTATGGTAAGATAAGATAGATTAAGATAATTTAATGACAGAATATTGTGAAAGATGGAAAGGATTGGCTGAGATAATTAATAACTAGAATACAAAAAAGGGAGGTGTGAGGAGGTCGATGAAACAAGTTAATGAAAGATAAAGATTTGGGAATATTGGATTTGTTTTTAAATTTTTTGTTTATTTTTGTTTTTTGACTTTGATGTATTGTGTGTTTTGTTCTTTTTTTGACTTTCGTTTTTATTGACTTGTATTGTTTAATTTCTCTTTTTGTCTACCTTTTTTTTTTCTTGTTTTTTTCCTTTCTTTCTCTGTAATTTTAAATTCTCAATAAATATCATTTTTTTTTAAAAAAAGAGATGGGGATTCTGTGCTTTTTCCCCACGGTGCCATTTTTTCTCACCACAGGGACCGACTTCGGGTCAGAAGAATGCTGGAAACAGCATGTGCGCATGCGCATGGGAGCTCCTCACCTAGAGAAGCGCCCATATGCGTGTGTACACGCTATTTCTGGCACACTTCCGGGATGGAGGAGAGCCTGTGCGCATGCACACACACTATTTCTGGTGCTGTTCCAACCCAGAAGAGCGCCAGAAATAGCTTGAGCGCACACTGCCTACCAGGCGTGCACACTCTGGCCCACCAAGAGGTCTGCCGGGGAGTGGACCAGACCAACCTGAAAAAACGTTGCCGACCCCTGCTATAAACACTGTCTATTATTATTATTCCAGTTATTTTAATATTAGCAACCACTACTCAAAAGAAAGGGTTCCTGGGTCCATTATTCAATCAAAGCAAAGCGGAAGTAAAGCTGGTTGTTGTGTGTTTCACGCACATCTGCAGAACCTCCCAGAAAATGCAGAATATTAAGAAGTCATGGCTGATTAATTCTTCAGCTGGAGATTTGGGAGATCACTGTATTCAGCATCCTTCATGCTTGTCAGCCGAACTGAATGACTAGTCAAAAAGAGATGAGCAGTCATTTTTTTTAAGAAGGACTCCAACACTGTCCATAGAATATGGACCCTAGTTAAATGAATTTTTAAAAGTGAAAAAGCATTGGACTATAAATTCCTTCATATTGCCTACCAATACGGAGTACTGCTATTCCCTGATTAATCCCTATATATTATGTGTCTGTCCAAGCTATCTCCTGGTGTGTGTTGGGGGAGGGGTCAGTTGAGAAGTGTATCTAGTTCTTAGTGACTGATTCATCTCATTTATAACAAACTTTTTTTTTTTTTTTGGCCAAGGAGCTCAAGGCGGCATATGTGCTTCCGATGCTCTTCCATCAATCCCCACAACAACCCTGTGAGGTAGGTTGGGCTGAGAGGCAGTGACTGGCCCAAGGTCACCCAGTGAGCTTCATAGCACATTGGGGATTTGAACCCTGGTCTCCCAGGGCCTAGTCCGACAGTCTAACCACTACACCATGCTGACTCTCACTTAGTGATAAGTGGATGACAGAGAAGAAGAAGCTAGAGATCAAGGGTGGGGAAGCTCAGGCACAGGGGCTGAATGCAGCACCCCCCAGTCTCTGTACCCCCCACAATGCTCCTCAGGCCACACCACACCCCTCACTTGCCTTGCTCCACCCTCAGCTGGAGTGCTTCTGTCTAACTGGAATGTGTCCTTGGACTGTTATCATGTCTCTAGCTTGTCTGGATGGAGAACAGAGAGACATAAGTAATTGGGTTTGTGATGTCTGCATGGCTGAAATGTTCCCCAATAAACAAAGTTAAGAGGCACACCCATTGACCTGCCCATTTTGGACGGTCGCACTACTGGTTTGGGGTCCTCAGAAGGTTGCCTTCATGCAGAATACATCCTCCAGGCTGAAAAAGATTCCTGGCTCTTATCATGGAACCTTCTTTAATCTCAGGTGCCTTCATGTGACAACTGAGCTTCCCCAGTTTCTGATTGGCTAGAATTTTCATCTGCCTATCTCAGGGTGGTGCTAAGTCCTGAGCTGCCTTTTTTTACAGGTCTCCCTTGGCTTCCATCGCTGCCTTCTTGACTTCTGTCCTGAACTTAACTCAGATGCCTGCCTGAAGTAACACTTGGATTTGTTTCTGCCCGCTGGCTGGGCTTCTCGTGGGCTTCCAGAGTTGACATTCTCTACCCTTCTTGTACCATTGATTCACTTGCTCACTGGTGAGGGGCATTTGAAGTAACAGGAGAATAAGAATTCCCAGTTGTGTGGAACCATCTTCTCCTGTAGACTCCAAGCAACAAGGACTCAACACTGGCCTCAAGCAGCTTCATATTTTGGAGATGGAGCTAACTGATACCGAAGAGACACTATAAAGCACATGCTTTCCCCCAAAGAATTCTGGGCACTGTAGTTTGTTAAGGGCTACTGGGAATTGTAACCCTGTGAGAGATAAACTATAGTGCCCAGAATTCTTTGAGGGAAATAATGTGTTTCGAATGTGCACACAGCCTTAGGCTGCTGTTCATAGGTCTGAGAAGTCTTTTTTCCTTTTATAAAGGAAATGAAAAGAAGATATTGATGAGTGCCTGCAGATCTGACCCTCTCAACACTGCTCCCTGGGTAAGCAACTTCCATGGATAAATTGCCAATTGGACATCTTATGCAAATTCGTGCTTGTTCGTCCCGGTTTGCTTGACATTGTAAATGGCAGCTCTGGTCTTGATGGTCCACAGAGGTCAAAAAAGCATAATCAGACCATTGCATCTCACAGTTTGCTTTATGGCCCTTAGTCATAGCTGGTTTCACTTCAGTGATTCCCCCCATCTCTCTTTTAACTGGGCTAATTATTTCCCCCCCACCCCCAACAGCCCTTTGGTTGTCTCTGACCTTGCATACCAGTCTCTTAGAAGTTGCTTTTCATTGTATGTGTTCCTAGTTATCAATGCAGTGGCTTCTTGCCTGCTTTAAGGAAACCCTTGTCCTTACCTTCAGAGCCTTTGATGGACTATTCAGCAGAAAGGCCCGTAGCTCAGTGGTAGAGCATCTGCTTTGTATGCAGAAGGTCCCAGGTTCAATCCCTGGCATCTCCAGGTAAGGATTGGGAGAGAGAACTCTGCCTGAAACCCAACTCAGTCTTGTTGGAGTTTGGTAAATATTGCATCAGGGTGCAGGAATAAATAGCCTAGTAAGACTCATTGTTGAAAGGCTGTAAGAAAACTCAGGTTTATTAATGCCAGGTTATTGAAGCCATTCTGAGCATATGCTGTCTGAATAGGACCTGTCTGATTAGGAAGCTCTTAGCCTGATGGCGGAAGGATAGCAAAGAGGGAGCCAGTCTAACCTCTCTTGGGAGGGAATTACACAATATGGGAGTCTTCTGCTTCTTCAAGCACCTCTACCCTGCCTGCTCTTTGTGCCTCCACTGCCTCCATCAACATTTGCATGGTGCCATCTTTCTTAATTCTAGTCCCTCCTGAAATTTCCACTTTTCCACAAACATTATTACAAAATCCCTGCAGGAACACACCAAAACCTCAGAAGTGCCTGAAGAAAGTTCAGCTTGCAACAGGAAGTGCTCACGTTCCTTCCTGCCCAGCAGGATCCAATGACCAGTCTGGGTGGGGAGAGTCACTCACCATCATTAGGACAAAGGAGATGTTCACAAAAAAGTCTGCATGATGCCGTCTCTCTTAAGTGGCTTCAACCCCTGCTCAAACCAGTTTGTCCTTGCAGCCTTGGATACTCTGTTTTTCTCTTGTATACTGCTTTGATGGCTGTTTGCTGCAAAGCAGTCTATAAATTATGCTGTGAAGCATTTTCTATTTTTAAATAACACTGGGTCTCCCCAAGGGATCGGTTGCTGCTCAGTTAAGAACAGAACTGGGCCTCCCCTCCATTGTTGCGAGAGCCCATATTAGAATTATTAGTTTTTATTGCAAATTAATCAATGCCCCAGGTTCCCTACTAGCCAGGCAAGCCTTTTTTAACTTGTTCTCACTCCAACAAATGGTCCAAGGCCATGGAGACTATTACTGTACGCTACTCCCTCCCAGAATTCGACACGTTGTCATCTTGGGACCAACATAAAATCCGGGACTGGATTCTTATAAGAGATGAGGCCATGGACCGGGCACAGTCCACCTCAGCTCGCCTCTCCATGTGGCTCCCTAAAGTGAAAGTGGTAAGATCACTTGCCAACTACTTGATAGACCTGACGGAGCCCAATTTGAGAAGAGCGTTTACAATGGCCCGTTTTCATTCTATACCCACGGCCTTCTTGCAGGGGACCTATTCTAAGACCCCTATTACTCAGCGTCTATGTCCATGCACAATGAACGAAGTAGAGGACTTCATACATTTCTTTTTCTACTGCCCTATTTATGACCCAATAAGACCTAAGCTCCTCCTCTTGATCCCGTCCTCCATTTCATCTAAGGAAGACTGTCTGAAAGCACTTCTTGTGGACGCAAATCCCCAAATTTCACGCGGGGTGGCAATCTTCATAGTGCAGGCTCTGAAACTCAGGGCTACTCTGATAGGGTAGTGTGCCCTAGTCCTGGACCTGTTTAATTCTTTTATTACCTTTAACTCAATGTGCTGAGCCTATTTTGGGGCCATTTTATGCTTTATTTATATCCGCATACTAGTTTTTTTGGTGCTGGCAACCAAATCTTTGTATTATTGTCTTAGGGTGTTTTAAATGTCATTACGCCAGCAATATCGTTTTGAATTTTGCTTGGTTGCTTGTCCCCAACTTTTTTTGTATTGTCTTATTTTGCTATGGCTGTATGCTAATGCAGATTTAATAAATATATATATTTTTAAATAATAATTTAAATTTAATTTAATGTTAAACAGACTGGTTTAACAAACAATCCCTCTTCCCAAAGAACCCTGGGAATTGTAGTTCTTTGAGAGGATAGCAGTCTTCAAACAATCCCCAGCACTCACAGCAAACTACAGTTCCCAGCATTCAGTAGGGGCAGGGTGGGGGAGAGAACCATGACTTAAAAGCGGCACAAAATCATGATAAATGTGTGGCTGAGGCCTCCATTTAAACATGTAAACATTATATGAGCATATTTGTTCTCTTTTAAAAGGCTATTTCTGCTCCAAAGTCACCCTATCGTTCTTAGCTACTCTTCGCTGATCTGAATTCCTTTCCACAAATTCCCAGTTTCTTTTACAGCTTTGTAGCTTCCAAACCCCCAGTTATGTTTCCTTCCCATCCTGCTGAACCGTCAAGTGCAAATTGCTTGAGGGGCATTCTGTATATCAGATGATTGCTGGGAACCCCTTTTGCTATTTGCTAACTTATAGCCTATTTGTTTAGAATTTCTTTTCCAGAGACTTGCTTTGCAAGCGCCCCTGATAAGGTTAGTGGTGGAGCGAACCAGAAGCGTGAAGTGCACGCATATTTCCCACCACTTGACAATTTTCATGACTGTCAGTGGTTCCAAATTTCCCCTGCGATGCAAGCTAACAGCCAGGTGTTTGTAGAAATCTCATCCGTCTGTGTAAGTATTGGTTTAGCTATTGATACACACTTGGCTTGCATTGTTCATCCCGGCCTGTATCTTGACACCATTCCCCTGACTTCTGTCTCAGTGTGAATAGAGAAAGTATTTCTCCCGCTCTCATAACACTAGACATCCCATGAAGCTGAATGTTGGAAGATTCGGGACAGAGGGGAGGGGGAGGGAAATGATTTCTTTGTGCATGGTTAGACTATGGAACTCCCTCCCACAGGAGGCACTGATGGCCACCAACTTGGATGGCTTTAAAAGAGGATTAGACAAATTCATGGAGGAGAGGGCTGTCAATGGCTACTCTCTATGATGACTGCTCTGTTGCCACAGCTGGAGGCAGTAAATGCTTCTGAATACCAGTTGCTGGAAACCACAGGAGGGGAGAGTGCTTGTGTTTGAATCCTGCATAGTAATTCACAGCGGATGCCAAGTCTATCCACTGAAACACATGGGTTTTTGTGGGTAAATCATTTGTATAGATCAACGGTGAGGCAAGCCTACCATCCTTCAGACAACAGGAGCACTCAGAGCAGGTTTTTCTCAGAAGTTATGAGAGCCCTGGAGGAAGCAAAGGAGGCTTTGCTTTGTGGATGTGAACAGGCTGAGATTTCGGTCAGGAGTCTGACGATTGAGCCTTGTGGATTTCTAAAATCCTTGCACGTTGACATCTCCCCTCGTTTAACTCTCTCTGCTTAATATCCGAACAGCTTTCTTACATCCTGTTCTCCAACATGGTAAAAAAAAAGGGCCTTGTTTTCATTTGCAAGCTCTCTGTTTGGGTGAGCCCCCAGTAATCTGTTTCATCGCACAGCTTTTACAGCCATCTGCTTGCACTGCTGGATTTTGGATTTCCTCGCGTATCTGCAGGAGTTTGTTGACATTATTTCTCCTGATTTGTCTACTTTTTCCTACACGCTCTCCCGGGTTCCCCCTCCCCTCTTTCTTTTGTGGTGGTTGGTGTTCCATTCATTCAACTGCCAGCAATTCCATCTTGGATGGTCCCAATTTACTCTCTGCAAATGGGAGGTTCTTCGAAGAAAAGCACCAAGCATTCTTTGGAGGTCTTTAAGCAGAGGCTTGACAACCATATGTCAGGAGTGCTCTGATGGTGTTTCCTGCTTGGCAGAGGGTTGGACTCGATGGCCCTTGTGGTCTCTTCCAACTCTATGATTCTATGATTCTATAATTCATTCTTGATGAGATGCAAACCTTGGTTGGGATGAGCAGCGATGAGTGCAAGGCCACACACCCTCCCAAGACACACCTCTCATCAGCAGTGCTTTGCACCCTCCTTGGGTGTTTATGCCTGGCTGGACTATGTCCTTGATGATTGATACTGCCTTTTGCTTGCCTAGGTAGAGGAGTGTGTAACATGACACATGACATGATCCTTCAGGGGAAGCCATGGCCATTTAAAGTGGTGTGATACTGCTTTGAATGTAAAGTGCTGATCGGGCCTATGTGAAATCCACAATACAGAACTTTGGAGATCACCACCACTCATTTCTCACCATTGTGAAACTTTTAAACTTATTATTTCCTCTGCTCCCTGCTCCTATTCATATGCATGCAACTTCATACTTTTCTTTTTTAAAAGCGCTGTCAGTTATCTGAACTTTTGAAATTTATGTTAAATGTTTTGACAGTCTTCTGGACTAGAGGGGGGAAACTTAAATAGCAATCTATTCATATTTTTGTTTGTTTGCTTCCTTGCCAAAACAACAACAAAAAACACCATTCTCCACCCATCTTAAAGAATCAGCAAAGATCACTAAGAACGGCTTTCAACCTTTTTAAATTCCAGAGTAAGTGCAATGCTTAATCGTTGCCCCCCACTCTTTTTGCACAAAATTACATTCACTCACTTGGCACCTCTCAGAACAACAGAATTCTGTCACCTAATAATACTCTGCTATTCCTGTCATTCCAAAATGATCCCAGATGGACATATCAAATCAGCTCCCAGCCTTTCCTTGCTTCATTTATATTCTTTAATAAGTGAATATTGGACATCAGTCAGTGCTTCCTGTCAGATCCGTTTGTCTGCTGCTTTTAATGCTGTTTCAGAACCCAGAGAGAAATCTCTGTTTGAACTGTCAGTATGTGAATGCCCACCCCCTGCACACACACAAAAAAGAACAAAAGCAGCTTACCCAACACTCTAAAAGGCAGCACAATTAAAACATCACACTTATTTTAGCCCCTTTTCTCCCTGCTGCTGCACGGACGTAGGGCGGTTTAAAAAATAAGAACTGCTTAGCATGAAGGAAAACCTTATAGAATTATCCCAATCGCCTTTTCAGCAATAAAGGCCAAACAAGATGACCTGGGGACAAGAGGCAAAGGTGTATTTTCCTGTGTCCACCATGGTCACACATAAAGTAGGGGAGATGGAGTCTTAGGCCACACCCACACTGCATATTTAAAGTGCTACGATATACCATTTTTAAACAGTCATGGCTTCCCCCAAAGAATTCTGGGAGCTGTGGTTTGTTAAGGGTGCTGAGAGTTATGAGGAGACGAACAGAGGTCTCCTCATAACTCTCAGCACCCTTAACAAG